AGTAGTTCTCTTGATTGTCTTTCATCTCATTTTCACTTCACTCAGTCCAATTTTTGGTTTTTATATTTTTTTGTATATAATACTTGTTTTCACTTCAGTACATTTTATTTGACATTTTCACTTACTTTGATCCTTGGTTAATCCCCAATCACCTTCCTTTTGTACTGTTCTTGTGTTCACTTCAATCAATTCAATCACTGGTCAATGGGTGAATATATAAGTGGGCCTCTTTTTGCTTTGCTATTTATTATTCATACTCAATCCACATCTTTTCAGTCTTTACTTACACCAACTGTTTTATGCTTCATCAGAGCCTGTATTCAACTTCATCTAAGTCCTAATCTATCTCTATCCATCTCTTTCACCTGAGATCATAGCCAGCCACCGGCCAATCTCTACAATAGATATGTCTCCTAATGCTAAATATGAGGCTTGCAGCCAATATCTTGTGGATATCATCTCAACCGAACTTGAGTCAGCCTGAGCCCCGACCCAAAAAATGTGGGTAATGGCCTACCCGCACCCCGAACTGATTTCCAATGAGCCCCCCCGCGCCCAAACCCTACCCTGACCCAATCAGCACCAGGCTCTCAGAAGCCTCCCAACCCCTATCCCCAAGGCCTGAAACCTGTGGGTAGCCGGGGATCCCTGCAGATAACATTGGGGGTTGGAGGACTATATGCAGCTCCCACCCCCAAACCCTATGGGCACCCCAATGTATTGGGGTCCCAAAAAGCCTGACCAAACCCGCACCCTGAGGGCTTGGGGCTCAGGGAACCCTTAGGGCGTTGGTTTTGGGGCCCAGGCTGAAACTTGAGATATCAAACAAGTTGACTTGCTCCAGCTGGACCAAGGTAACCAACATGTTTAACACCAAATAACCCGGTGGATCCGCCCAGTCCTTATTGAAACATCATTTTAATTGTGTAAGAGGTCACAGTTGATGCACGATTGATGTAATATATCCTGAATTTCACTTTGCTTGATTGCAGCTTGAATTCCATTATGACATCCTCCAACAGTTTTGAGATCAAGTTTTTACATTGTATGAAGAGCTAGGCCTTGTATTGGCACAAGAGGCAGTATGGCAAGAGCATATCAAAGTCAGTTCAGTCACTGACTGTGTGCTGGAGATCTTCCTCACCTTCATTTACTTACTCATTTACATTGTTCTCTGCCTAATTGGTCAGTTTCATCCTGAAGCGCTTATGGTTTGTGGCCACTGCTTTCCCATGATTCAGACAATGAAGGCTCTTGATTTACCAAATCCACCAGGTTGCACAGCAACTGCTTTTCATTCCAAACTCCTCAAACCAAAATGCAACATCCCAGAAGCAATTGAGCATTACACAACACTTATAAGCCAGCAAGAGATGCTCAGTGAGGTCCTAGGTCAGTTTCTTCTTGTGTTCAATGCACTTTTTGTTCCTTTCTCTAAATTGATTAAATTTGGTGTATGTATGTAGATGGATGCAGCAAGGGATATAGCAACTGTGGTGAGTTCATTTGTACCACCTACGTTTAGCCTTGAAATTGAATGTGGTTTGGGTATGTAGAGGGATACAGTGACAGAGACTACTGGGATGAACCTTCTGTGTCCCCGATGTCCAATGTATCCAAGTTGTGTGGAGGCAAACAATTAACACACAAGAGAACCAAGCCACAGCCACAAAAGACTCACAAGAAAATTTGCATCAACAACCCCAAGTCATTCTGTGGGTTGGGCAACTTTTCTTTTACTCATTGTGGTTCTGAACTGTTTGAGAGAGAAGGAGATTATAGAATCAGGTCTTGAGTTTTTCATATCAGAGAACGGCATGTGTTACAGTCTCATGAGGAGGCCAGTTGGACATTTTTGAACCTTGCTGATGACATCAGATGGTCATGGCTTGTTGACAAGGCTTGCAATAAGAAATATGACTGTTGAGTAATTCAAGACCTTGATTGTGTATTGTTTTCCGCTTGATTCACTCTCATCCTTTGTTTTTTCCTGGTTTTTATTTGACCTATTCATAACATCTTTCTTTCATTGTTGTAGGATTTGATCTAGTCATTTGAAGCCTGTCTATTGTTCTTTTATTGTTGTAGGATTCACTCTTATTCTTTTTTTTCTTGGTTGTTATTTGATCTGTTCATAACATCATTTTTTGAAGCATGTCTATTGTTCTTTCATTGTTTCATGATTCACTCTCATCCTTTGTCTTTTCTTGGTTGGATCTATCCATAACATCATTCTTTCATTGTTGTTTAATCAAGAATAATATTGACACTTTGGAGTACAACTTGCAGAGAATAACAAGGATAACACTCCGAAACAAGCAGAGTTTTCATAGAGATGTCTGAAACATATTGAGATGTTGATAGAATTGACAAATTAATGAGTAATGAGTAATGAGTAACTATGACAAAATCTGTGAAAAATGTTGTGATATCAATTGAACTTATGAATGAATGAGTAATGACAACTATAAAAACAACATCTGAAAACAAAAAAGATTTCTGAATAAAACAGATATCATATACAAAACTAGGAAAGACTTACTAGACCTTCATTGGAAGGAATCCTGTCATGTAGTTGAAAGGAACTGCATGATCTTGGGCAGTCTCTTGTTTCTTGGAACCCATTGCACCTGGTGCAAGTACACTCCGGGCTGCTATTCTAGGAATCACAAAGTTTTCCTCAATTTCCTCCTGTATTTCTTCCCATGCATTACCTAAGAGAGCCAGCATATTATGCAATATGACACGGACTTGTATCCAATCAAGATACCTGCACATATGAGCAGCTTCATTCAGGCACAACCGCAGGCATTGTAGAGACATCCATTGTGTCTTGAGAACTCCAATGAATTGTTGATTTTGGACTCGCACCTTGGCCACACAATAGTTGAAATCTTGATTGACATCTTGTAACACTGCCTGTCCTTTGAAGCTGGGTACCACAGTCTCCTCGCATATGTACACAGAATCAGCTATTAGATACTTGCCTACCACACAAGAAGAAACAACTCATGGTCAGTCAGAATCAAATTGAGGCTACAGCTAAGGACCATGCTGACCTAGTGAGAAATATTTAGCTGGATTTTTTGCCACATCCATTTTACTCAACACTGTGACATCACTACATGACCCATGCCAGCCCGCGTAAACACTGATTATACGTCTGTCGCAATTGCAAATAATCTGAGCATTGATTGAATATTGTTTCTTCCAATCAAAAAATCTCACCATCTTTTCCAGGTCAGTGATAAATTGGAAATGTTGTCCCATCAACAAAACCCACACAGCCAGGAAAACCTGTAAACAGAGCACAGCAGTATCAAGATGACATATTGAAGAACCATATATTGAATCAGGTTGTTACATGACCTTCTTTAGATATGACAGCTGAAATCACTTCTCACCGCTCTGGGCCTGGCCAGACAAGGTAGTTACTTCCTCAATCAATTATAGCCTTGATTAATTGACGGGTAAAGCTGACTACTGTTCCTTTGCCCATCTTGTAGTCGCGTGCAAATCAAGCTATTGAGGATCCATTGCCATTTGATCCCAAACACTCGAGTGTTACAGCAAGCTGTTGATCCACACGTGGGGGAGCATTGTGACTTGTAGAGCGAAAAATTGGATGATCACCTATCAGGTGTAGAAGTGCCTGGAAACCTTCATGACTTGTTTGTATGGCCTGTTGGAACTTGGTTTGGCAGGATTGTAGCATGTCATTGAGTTCAAACGGGGTTACAAAAGGTTCTTTCCAGCAAGCGTTGATGTATTGGAGGCTCATGATTGCCTTCAATGCGTCAAGAATTGTGGCTTCATTTCTCAACTCCATATCAAACCATCAAGCCATGCATGTGCTCTTAGGGAACATCAGATTGCCCATGGACCGGTGGGAAGCCCTGGTTTGTGAAAGGTAAACAAAATCATTGTTGGAATCAAGAGCCGCATACAATCCTAGCGCAATAAGGTCTTGAGTTATCCAATAATGTTCTGGCACTCGAGGCAGGACACTGTCTGAAGCAGTGAGTAGGTGAAAGAGTGTTGTTGTGGGTGTGTTGGTGTGTTGAAAGTGAGTATGAAAAAGAAATTTGTGCACTGTTAAACCAGATAACTTGTTGTTGTTGTTGTTTTGTCTCACAAATGCAGAGGAGGAAATCAGCTTGTCTAAACCCATACTTAAGTCCTGCTTGGTCCCCCAACACAAGCTTTTTGTTCTCACGTCAATGTCTGAGGAAGTGTTCCATGCACAAAACAAACACAACTCACTTGCCTCCTTGCTCAGATATCAAACAGGCATCCTTGCTCAGATAGCTGTTTGATTGACACTTGCACAGCCAGCATATTTGGCTCGGAGGCGAAAATTTGACAAGTCCTCGGATTTTGACTCCGAGTGAAGCACCATCTGAGGATCCAATTCGAGGCAATTGGGGGATACAAAGTAGAAAGCCGGGCACGTGCCCGGGCATGTGACCACAAGTCCAGATCCCAAATTTTGGCTGTAAAATCGGGATCTGGACTTAGCCGGGCATGTGCCCGGAAGTCCACTTCCCAAATTTTGGCTGTAAAATTGGGATCTGGACTTGCGGGCACATGCCCGGCTTTCTACTTTGTATCCCCTAAATGGCCCGGGCCAGAATTTGCCTCGCAATTATCCCTTGGCGCCATCCGAGGACTCCTTGGACATTTGTCTCCCAGCCAAATATGCAGGCAGTGTTGGACCTTGTTTGAATTTTCTAAACCTGAGGACCCCTATTATTGTCCAAATAATGTGGTACAATAATCTCTCATTTTGGGCTACCAAACACCCAAAATCAATTTGCGATTATTTTACTGCGATGGTCCGAATACCACAGTAAAAAATCGCGACCAAACGGGGCCTTGATCTAGATTTGATACTGGTCCTTTACTGGTCAGTGTGTAAGAGTGACGTCATTTGACCAACAAAGACTTTTAAATTTTATTTTTTTAACAAATCGAATTTGTTTCCCAATTTCCATTTTCAACTTCAACTTCAATCCTGGTAAGGTAATCTCAATCCTTTAGCCAGATTGAGTTTGAATGTATCTTGCATGTGTCCGGATCAGATAGATAGCAACATACAAACCTTATCAGCCTGATCAATCACTTTCTCATTTTGGTGATTGCCATCACTCATCATTCACAGAATAACTCATTGCAAGATCTATCTCAACGACAGGCATGGATCAGCATCATTTTCAAGAAAGTGAGTTTCAAGTTTTATACCTATCGATATCCTCAATGTGATCTCTCTTGTTCGATCACTCATTTGGTCTTTCAATTTGAATAAACCCTTCAGATTACTCTGGTCGAAATCCTGTTCCTACCATTCAAAAATACGAGGCGAACATACTTGCTCAGCAAAGGGGGGCTAATTCTGACGAGGTACCAGAGACCACCACGGACGTCAACAAAAGCTATACCATGGATCCGATCAAGACGTCCCCAGGACGACATCAAACTTCCACCGAGACGCGTGTGAATGATGATGATAAGCCTGTGCATAAGACTGAGGAGGGTACAGATGTCAAGGTATCTGAAAAGGAAGAGATCATGGAGCGCATGTCTCGCTCGAAAGAAAACCCTACCAAGGCACTCAAACTCCATGGCGAGCGTACTGTGAAAGATCCTGTCACAGGAAGTGATGTGGTTATCAGTGATGCTAAATCTGATCCAAAAGATGGTGATATACCTTTGTCTTTATCCCCGTATCCTAGCCCTATTGCGCGAATGAGTAAAATGCTGACTGGGATTGTATGAAAATGTGTCACATTCACCCTTTTGCGTTAATTCGCGCTCCAGCCGAAAAGACATACTCTCTAAATCCTGCCACGGCGAATGAAAAGTCTGCCGAGGGTCACCGTGCCGACCGCACAGCGCCCAATCCTATCACCCCTGGAAATATTTGCCTACAACCGTTCCCTCCTCCAGTGGGATCGAACGTGATGTCAACACTCGGAGAGATTAGCACCAAGATATCTTCTATTTTTCTCATCAGTCTTGGAATTCTGTGGCTAGCTACAGCCTTTGGTCACGGTTTTTGGTCATGGCTATGGAAGACAAGTCTAATCTCAGTTGTCGCGATCGTTTCTTCTTCTCAAGTGGGACTCATGACACGCAGATTAGAAAAAGAGATAGAGCAGGTGAGTGAGATGATCCATTTTCGATCTGGTGGTGGTCTGGACAAAACATTGAAATGACTAATCAATCAGGTACGTTACGAAATGCACCGACAAAGGGGTATACAACACTCTCCTCCAACTCCAGAGTCTACAGAGTGGCTAAACGCATGTAAGCTCCTGAATGTCATCTCCAATGTGGTAGATGAGACTGAATGAACTCGCCCTTTCGTCCGCACAAACAGTCATCTCTACATTTATGGGCCTGATCAATCCTGAAATGTTTTTACCAATCGTAAGTCATTCACTCTATTCCCCAAGCCCTCGCCTAACCGATCGAATTTTACTGATCTTGTTTGCAAAACAAATTGTCAAAGGCTGATACTATTGAAGATGTCATGCAAGCATCACTGCCAAGTTTTGTTGATGCGGTGAAAGTTTCAGATATTGGACAAGGCGATACGCCATTCCGAATTCTTGCTATGCGAGCACTTCCAGACAAGCCCGGTGATCGTGAATATCCACGAGAAGAGTGGATCACGGGCGAAAATCCAGATGATCCCAAGAGTAATGATCTCGAAGCCCATAAGCAAGAAGAACAAAGTGGAGACTATATCAATTATGAGGTATCATTTGCTTACCAAGCGAAGCCTGGAAAGTCTGATAAACTTAGATCTCACAACATTCAGTGAGTCTTGCAGTGGTTTTGGCCCTTTGAAAAGATTTGACCAAAACTGATAGGATTTTTGTTTAGTCTGATGATAGAGTTTTTCATTGGATTGTACGATTGGCTCCACATTCCGATCCCAGTTTGTGAGTCTACTTCACTCCAAAAATTCATATCTGATTCAACGACAGAGTTGTCTCTTATTCCGTATTCCGCGGGCACATCTTTCTATCTTTTTCAGGGATTCAAGTTGATGGACTAGCGGGTACAGCACGGCTAAGACTCCAAATGATACCTGACACTCCTTATATACGCAATGTAAGACTTTGTATCATTATCTCCTCACAAAAGAACATATTGAAACCTCGCCTTAACTGTATACTAATCTCCACTCGTTTATATACAGCTGACCTTTACCATGATGGGGGTTCCCAAAATCGAAGTGTCCGCCAAACCCATGGTCAGAGCGATTCCCAACATATTGGACTTACCAATCATCTCAGGATTTGTCCAAAGCTCGATTGCGGCCGCTGTGAGCTGAACTCCCTGATTTCTCGTGTCTCGTGCCCGTTGAACCAGCTTTAAATTCATCATACCTTGTTCGCAATGTAGTGCGCTGAATATGTTGCCCCTAAATCGATGACGATAAACGTCCAAGAGATGTTGTCTGGGTCAGGAGTTAAAGAAGTCACACACAACCTGGGGGTTATTGTCATCACTATCCATCACGCCTCGGATCTGTCTGCACAAGACTCGAATGGATTGTCCGATCCATATATAGTCTTAGCTTATGCTAAATTTGGGAAACCGTTGTATTCGACAAGAATCATCACTGAAGAACTGAACCCTGTATTCGAAGAGACTGCGTTCTTATTGGTTTCAGAAGATGAGTTACGAGCTAACGAGGATGTTAGTGTCATGTTGTGGGACTCTGGTGAGTTTTTGTTGCACCTTGTTCGAGTATTGGTTAGATGAACATCTGACAAGATATCGATCTCTTTGCCTCGTATCTGAATATCTATCCAGACGAAAGATCTGCCGATGACTTAGTCGGACGCGTCCAACTTCCTGTAGCTGAGATTATGAAAAACCCTAATAAATCAGAGCGTAGAACAGACAAACTTAGGGGGTTTCAAGACGCCGATGGCATGCCAGGCTCGTTGACGTGGTCGGTCGGATACTATTCGAAAGCTACGTTGGAGGCTGGATTACAGAAGAATGTGATTTCTGACTCAGCTCATGACCCCGTACCGCGTGGCGAGCCAGCTGGTCCTAAAACACCTGCGAAACATATGCATGTTTCCACTACCAATACCCCGCCGCCACAGAGGTGGAAGTCGGGAATCTTGTCGATTATTATTCATCATATCAATAATCTCGAACGTGCCAACTTGAAAGGAGCTAGTGGAAGTGATCGCGAAGGCAATGCAGGTCAAGATACCGCGGACGCGAGTGAACATGACGATAATCTTCCAAGTGGGTACTGTGAAATCATTGTCAATGATCTGATGATCTATAAGACGCGTGTCAAGCAATATACGACCATGCCTTTCTTCGAGGCCGGTACTGAATATTTCATTCGAGACTGGACTGAGACTGTGGTTCGGATCGCTGTCAGAGATTCACGCTTGCGGGAGAAAGATCCATTATTGGGTGTCATCAATATTGACCTTGAAGATTTATTCGACAAATCTGGCTCTTCTCAAGTCAGCCAGTTGTTCTCTTTACAAGAAGGCGTCGGTTTCGGTCGCGCGCAAATCTCTGTCCTCTTTCAACCTGTGCAATTGGATCTTCCCAAAAATTTACGTGGCTGGGACACCTCGACACTTGAGATCACCTCCGAAATAGTTGCGCAAGTCTCAGATGAGTTGGCTGCAGAGTTCCGAAAGAAGAAAAAATTAAGACTCAAAACTTCAGAAGACACGTATAAATTACAAATTGTGCCTCCTTCAAACGATTCCAATTCGACAGGCAATGGCCACATAGATCAGGCGCCTGGATCTGTCAGATGGAGTAACAAAAGCGGATACCAAGATTATGATCAGACCTTGATTCGAATCCCGATTTACGATCGCTACAAATCACGCGTATCGTTTGAGATTGGTAGGAGTGGGGTGGTTAGTACGCTAGCCGCCTTATTACCAACTGAAAAACTTCATCTCGCGGTCTTGTGGCTTTATACTTTAGAAGATGATGTAGAGACAGAGATCAAACTGCCAATCTTGTCAGGAAAGAAATTGAAAAAACTTAGACAGAATGTGATTGGCGACCGTAAGTCTTGCTATCAGCGGCATTTCTCAACTGTTTCATTGATGTTTGGATTCTGACGCATCGGAAGCAGAAACGAAGGCTACGCATGAATACGAGATTTGTGGCTACTTGACATTCAAAGCAAGACTTGACCCTGGTCTAGATCCGGATCATGAAAAGTGCGCTGCTAGTCTTCATTCCTAATCTTACAGAGTGTTGAAAGTTACCAATCATACTCATATTTCCTACCCATCTCTGTCTAAAGGTATTCTCAAAGTGCAGTTGCACGTCACACATTTGAAGCTTATGATAACACCGAAGGACAAGCAGAAAAATCTACCCGAAATGCACATGCATTAGAACATAAGCAAACGGACCATAGAAAATCTAATGATAGTAGCAGTAGTGATAGTGATAGTGAAGAAGAAAATGAAGGTGGAATTAGTCATAAGATTTCAAGTTTGATCGGAAAAAAAGATAAAGAAGAAAAAGCGATCGAAGAAGCACATACCAAAGCATTGAACTCAAGACATCGAGGTAAAATGCAATTTGGACCTGTTAGAACGACTGTTTGGATGAAAGAAGGAATTGGAAAAAGGGCAAGAGAATTGAAGAATCGAATTTCTGGAAAAATCCAAAAAGAACGTAAGTACTGAAATTTATGAATACATCAATGGATCATGAATTGTCTTTCATGAATACCTCTAATGGTTTTGCTGATTGGTTTTTTGCAGCTGAGGTTGAGACTGAGGGAAGAGCTTAAAAACTTTCTTTGGCAAATGTAAGGATGAGGGATATGATTGATTTTTATTATTCAGAGTTAGGTTTGCAATTTTGTATCTTTCTTTTGGTTTGAAAAGTTTGTATTGTAGAGTATATTTCAAAAAAATTATGTAGATTGCATAATGAATTGAGAAGTGATTCATAGGCATTTAATTGTAAGATCTTTCTTCGAAGAGTATATGAGCTTTTCTTTGACAATTGTCATATGATATGACAAAGAAAGTGGCTCATGAAGCTGCGGTGGTGATACTTTGTTGTTCAAGACAAACTTTGGATTCTGGGAAATACGAATGCAAAATTCTTCATTTCTAGGCTTTGATATATCTAAGTCACTGTCGTGTGTATCACGAGGGTTCAAGTCGAAAACTCCGAACAGGAATTTTATGACTTCCGAGCGATTTTTTAAGCACAAGTTGACCTAAAAGATCGCGAGGAGTCTTAAATTTTTTTGAATATCAGCCACTAGGTCTTATAAGAAAGGGAAATACGAGCTCTGAGACCTACAAAAGCTTGAAAAAGTGCATTAATCCTTAAATTAAAAACGGGCGTTATAAATCGCGACTTCCGAGCGAAGCCTAAAACGCATTTTGGGTCCGATTTCTTTTGACTTGAACCCCGCTATTACGTCGATCTCTTTAAACCCCAAAATCCCGAAGGGAGACAGGCAGAACCATAGATACGAGATATTTGCTCACATATCAAAGATTTCAGTTAATCTGACGACACGAGGCATTTTTCTCATGGAAGTGTTGACATTGGCCAGATGATGTCATCCATGGGATCCTCGTATAACGCGTTGCAACGAGATCTGTAGAGTCCTAAATTCCGAAGGGCGGCAAGGAAACCAAAGAAAAGAGATATGCTGACGCTTCATTAATGCGATGTGTAGCTTGTACGTATGTGCAAATCGGGCGTTACGAAACGGGACTCTCATCGACGTGATGAGACTTGAACGACATATTGATCAAGTTGTATGCGGCGATGCAATCATTGAGCGCAATCTGGATGCAGAGCGGTTGCCACGCGCCCCAGACCTCGTAGAGAGACTCCTAAGTTGTCCATGTGGTCGTATATATGCCAGGTTTTATCTAGTTTTCACAAGGTATTCTAACTTGCTTCCCCATCTTTGGGATCACGATCAGAAGGTTTTCTTTATTTGCTTAAAAACTCTCATCTTGAACTCAAACCCCAACTCAACTTATCATTTTATCTCCAGAGGAGTCGTGATGTGAGTCAAGTCTCAGTCTAGCAGAATTCCACGGCTTCCCTTGTTGACATGCCTCTTCCAAATCAAGCGTCTCGTGAGGAAGTTGGCATCAAGATATCGAGCACCGAGATTTTGAATTCATCGTTCCAGAGCCGTGTAATTTGAACTTCCATTCAGAATCACTATACTTGGTAAGTCGATTCTTAAGGCTAGGAATCTTTGATGACAGCTTGAATTACATTCTGAATTTTCGGGAGCCATTTTTCATAGACTTTGTCTTGAGATGAATTATAGGTTGTCAATGTTAGGCTCCATCTTTCTCTTGGTACTCTCCGGAGAAAATGTGGAATCAAGATCACATGTTGCCATTGGTCGGTCTGAAAAATCTCTATCAACTTCAACCGTTCCTTTAGGATTATGGAAACGTGAAAAAAAACCACCGAACGGGACTGAAAAGACTGATAAAGATAAGAAGCCGAAGAAAGATGAAAGTAAACCAAAAGACGGGAATCACAATGCTAGTGTACCTGCCTGTCCTGGCGCACCATCGGGCGTGTTCTCACTACTACCATCTGCCTTAAAACTGCCAAGTAATGCTGGAATTACTTGTCATAACTCTACTGAGAATGCAAAGGTAAAAAGGGCAGAAAAGACAGGTGACAAGGGAAAGCCGAGTGATCCGAAGAAGGCCGAACCGCAAGGCGCCGAAAAAATGAATGCCGAAGATTGTGTTTGGTAATTATAATTTCATGATCCTCTTTTTCTACTACACATTTAGAACTGCAGATTCAGATTATGAAAACTGATGAAACGGTTTGAATTTATTTCAACTCTATAACACAGTGCTTTTAACTTACTTCAACAGTCCTTATTTGAAAAATTTGAAAAGTCTGCTAAATCTGATCCACCAAAGAATTCAACGAAAACCGGTTCATTTACTTATAAATGGAAAAATGGAGAAGCCTTTGGGAAAGCTTGTTCAATTCCTGCGACAGAAAAAGTTGAAAAATGTGATCCAAAGAAGAAAGACTCATGTGCTAATGTGGAATCTAAGCTCAAGTCATGTGCAACTGTCAAAAGTTGTACTGTTAAAATCACTGCTGCTGGAAAATCAGAGTTGAAGTAAGTTATCAATACTTATCTTTCCCTCATTTTCATCATGTTTTTTTGTTTGAGATACATGATGATTCGAGAAGAAATATTAATAAGAAGCTCTCCATACACTTTTCCATTTTCAGCTCCCTTCCAGTGCAGACAGCACTTACAGACTTACATTATGGATTTCAATCATATGCTTGGTCATGTTGTCCACTAAATGTGAGCAAATATAATGCTTATCAGAATAGTCTCGTCATCTCAGGTGAACTAACGGGATGATATGGATGCAGGGATTCGATTTAGCTGTCAATGACTTTCCAGGGGCAAAAGAAACCACTGACTCCTTTGAAGTAGTGGGAGGTCCGTCCAGTACAACGAAATGCACGTAGCCTAAGCCGCGATGTTGACCATTTGGAACAGAGTACGACACAACTCTAACTCTTTTAAAAAAACTATATTTGAATGTGTCTCATTTACCCAAATAAATTTATTGAGATAGACTGGGGAACTAAAATTTCCGAAAAGAAACTTTAGATTCAACAATCACTTACATATCAATATATTTGAAGAGATGAATTGTGTTTTGATTTTTTTGATGGAAGGATGTGAAGGAGTTAGCGGGTACTACTCTTTGTACTTTGTACTATACTTCACTAACTCTCTGTAGTTTAATTTGAAAATTTAATCCAATTCAATCTAGAGTTTATGAATAATATGTATGAAAAATCTTGAAGGATATTCTGACAATGAACAATTTCTATTGTACCCACCGTGAGATCAAGGTGAGAGAGATTGAGATGCAGGGTGAAGGACATCGTTGGATTTCCAGATCCCGCTTAGGTCTGAACTTCATAGACCAGAGAGGGGAAGCAGCTCTTGATGAGGTTCTTGTGATGTGGTTCAAGTTCAACTCGTCAGCGTGCATGTCCAAGCAGCAGTGGTGTGCACGCATAAATATCACGGGTTGTTTGGAATTCTAATCAGAAGGATCAAAGATTTTCATACGTAGAAAATTGAAACAAAGTCAACCAAGAAAGCTTTGATTTCTAAAAGATCTTCTCCTTCCAAAACTGTTCCTTTTGTTTGCGTTTGTCACAAGTGATTCAAGCCTAAGAAAATATAAAAAAATGTACTACAACAAAGAATGAAGAAAATTGAATTTTGATCTTGAAGTGAGACTTTCATGTAGTCAAGAAATAAAGATATAAAGCATTCATAATAAATGATAAATGAAGACAAATGATCATTTATTCAAAAGTCACAATTTCTCAAGTATTTTGAAGAAAGATATTCGCAAGTGTTTTCCAAGTACGTTTCATTGATGACGTCTAGATGAAGAACCAAGATGATCAACTTGATGTATTCCATTAAACCTAACAGATCCGATTCCCAGATCCATACTTTCCCTCTGATCAAGACTTGAACGAATTCTTTGCTTTTCTCCAAGTTTCCAATTCAAATAAGATAAATCAGGAGTAACCGCTTCAAATTTTTCCTTAAATGGATCATCAATTAAATTTTGGTTAATTTTCTCAATCTTGAATCTTGCATATGGACTCTTTCCAAGACTATCAATAAATTTTAAAAGTAAAGTGGAATCTAATCTATCTTTTTCAGTTTCATTGGGATCTTTAATAGTCATCGCTAAAGTTTGAATTAATAACGCTCTACTTAGTTCTGGTACAGTTAATCCTAAAAGTTCTGGATCATATTCGAGGCGGCGTTTAACGTGTCCAGCATTTGAGTCACTTAAGTACTCGATCACCCTTTGCCTAAGGAGTTCTATTGAGAAGTAAAGAATTGCGAAGTTCAGATTAGTTATCAGTTGACAAAGATATAATATAATCTTTGGTAATAGGTTTATGTGTCATACCATTGGTGCGTCCTACTGAAAAAAGTTTTTGTAAGTTCAAGTATGAATCTATATCTTTTTGAATTTTTTCTGGGGAGAGTACTTCAGATTCACGTCGAAAGATAGCTACTTGTAGAATATTATCATAAGTGAGATTAGAAGAAAGTTTGGTGATTAGGTCCGGAAATTCAAAGGATTCGAGATTAGCCAAAGGATTCGATTGATGAAAGATAGATCCTGTAGGATAACTGACCATCATCTTCAGGGTCTTTTGGGGCAAGGTCTTTTGGGGTAGGTTCGTTTTTGAAGACATTTTCTAAAATGTCAATAAGATTCAAATAAATAACGTAATATGTCCTTATACTCTTTGAATCAAAGACAATGATCGACTAACTATATGTTTTAGGTATTGACTTGACCCATATCCAGAATCTTTCAAAGAAGGATGTAATCTTATCTCGCATACGATCCATTTCAGGATCACCATGATCCAGTACAATAGCTCCTACAAGTCCAAAAGATCGTCACAAGATTTTCACTCATCAGTCCTTGAGTTCTTCAACCAACTCAAATATCTACGTCTCTGCGGTTCAACGTACGAAAGCTTTTTTTGAGCTCTTGCATGAACTCTGCCGCAGTAGTTTGGTACTTTTTCAAGCGAATAACCCATGGCGATGGCGATGGCGGCTCAGGAATTGGTAAGATCTCTTCATGATCCGGTTCCTTGGAGCTTTCTTTTTGAACTTCCGTTTCGCTCAGCTTATGTGGTTTACTATCAATTGTTGTGGTACCTTCGGGTTGATTTGTAGAAGACTTCGGTTTTGATGGTCTCGGTGGTCTTGGTGGTCTATTTCTAGTTCGTGTTCTTGGTCCCTGTTCCGCCTGAAAGAAGGTATGTGAAACGTCTTCTTCAAATCTTGTAGGAGGTTGAACTTGATCAAATTGCTGAGAAGATACCGGGATAGGTCCCCTAGTTTCTTGAACTTTATCATTCTTATTGGTACTACTTGAAGTTGAAGTTTTTTTTTTGGGTTGAGGATTTCCAATACCGGTGACTACATTATGACCTTTACAACCCATACCCCAAAATGATCTTCTTTTAATCTTCCTATAACATGGTATCGTTTCAAGATTTAATTTTGAATGATTTATATCTTTTTCTGATGTACTTAGAAGATCAACATCCTTTAGAATTTCTCCTTTTACTATAAAGATGATTTTATATGAGACTAATAACCAGACATATATGAGATTCATGTTTGCTTTTGTGTTTTGGTTTAGTGAATAAAGTTGAAAAGTTGAGGAATATAAAGTGACTAGCTTTCAAGTGTGATTTTCATTGAAAGATCGTTGTAGATATGAAATACTTCAATGATCAATTCGATATAATCATTTCTCCCATAAGAAGAAGGAATTAAAAGAGACCGAGGAATTGAATGTCTCAGTCTCATGACCCCAAAACCAAACATCCTACGGACCTGCCATAGTCAAACAGATCCATCTTCTCTCGGGGTAAAAAATCTACAAGAGGCGTGTTACAGAATAGTAAAAAGTCTTTGACCAATGGAACATCAGAGACTTTAGGCTAATCATTGAATATCATCACCCTCTTGGTCAACAGACCATTGGTGCACAGACGAAAGAAAGATGAGACATCCAGTGAAGACATTTGATCCTTTGAACTCTTTGAGCTAGATTACCCCCTATTGGCGCTGTACATCATTTAGCGTGTGTCAGAGGACGCGCGATGCTGGAGGCCATATTACAAAGCGCGTGGTTTGCAGAGAAAAAGAGAAGGTCGTTCTGGTGATCGCGATTCGCAGTGTGTAAATAAACAAGTGTAGACCAGTGGCACTGTGGCGGTGCGATTTTACAATCTCTTTGGCGAATCTCTCAAGAAATGGTATATGATATCATGAAGTGAGAGAACACATCATCATATCCGATAGAGGGTCTACATACATAGCTTCGACCTTGATTAGTATAGCTATATACGGCAATGGTCCATCAAATCGTATAACCATATTCAGTATTAGATTTGGTAACGATTCAGCTTTTGAAAAGTGTTTAGAATGATGTTGAGGTTGGTTTTGTTCATGTTTGACAGTTTAGGTTTTTTTACCAAAATAAGAATTGAGCAAGTACGATGAAAATGGATAGAGTTTGATTCGAATGATGATGATCTCGACGATGCTGAGCAGCGAGCTTTTGTGCGAGAAGAATTGGTAACCGCCCTCAAGAAAAGTTAATCAAGCTGATCAGACGAGTGTTACCCTAATGAAATGTGGTTTGAAAATGTATGCGTATGAAGTCCAAGATAAATGTAGTTTTGAATAATACATTAACTGGATTAATTCAGTTGACCGCCATTTACCATTTACCATTTTACCATTTTACTATTCAGCGGAAGATCCAATTGAAACTTTTACCTTTTCTCTATTAAATCAATTTCACATTCCACTCTCCACTATCCAGAGACTTCCCATCATCAATACAAAACAGACAGATACATATTGATTAGGAACAACACAAATGAGAAGATGTCTGCCACTGTAGCTACTGTGGCGTATATCCCACCACATGCAACCGCTTCACCTTCAACTTTCACTGATCGACCAACCAATGTCAATTATGGTACTTCAACTGCTCAACCTGGTAATACTAACATTTACCTATATTACTTCATAGTACCTTATCTTGATGCTCATGTCCTCAGTCCACCATCTTGGAGATACGCATACATCGTAAGTTTCTCAATCAAATTGTCTCTCTTTGCCTAACATTCAAACTTATGCCTTTTCCTTTTTGCTCCAGTTCTGGATTGTCATCAGTGTGGTGTTCGTTCTATGGACAGTCTCACATCAACTCACTAAATACGCAACTCTACACACTAAACCTCAACCGACTCAAGCTCGAACTTCCATCTTGACCCGATTCTTTCGATCCATCTTAATCAGACGTTTAATACCCACTTCAGCTACTTCTGATCAGCGTAGTAGATGGTACGCTTCAACCTTGCTCACCTTTGGTCAACTTCTTACTCTCTTAGCCTTCTCCGGTATCATTCTAGCCGTCAGTTTGGTCGGTTTCGATTACATCAGTCCTACTACTTGTACTTGGGGTGGACCTTGTGCAGTCCAAGTCTTTCATCAGGGGCCACCAAAGTCTACCTACACACCTCTCCGTTTAAGACGCAGGCATCAGAATCCTTCATCGCCACCCTTACCTCAGCCCGCCGAAAAGTTCCTCAAAATCCCACAACCTGAAAAATACTCTTATCATGACCATCAAGACTCATATTTTGGGGACGAGAAGGATCATGGGATCGAGAAGCCTTTTCAACCCCAGGATCAACTCGCTTTTCGTCGGCTTCTCCCTCGAGCATCAGCTCTGAGCTTAAACCCGGGTGGATGGGCTCCGTTTAACGACCCATTACTAGCCGCTCCAAATTATGATATAGCACGTAACATGTGGACAATCTCCTCTAGATTTGGTTTAATTGCATACGCTTTATTGCCCTTTGTGGTCACACTTGGATTGAAAGCATGGCCATTCAATATCTTCGCTACTCCTTGGCTTACGAATTATGGATTTGATAAATCAGCAGTCATTCATCGTTGGATTGGTCGTTTAATTTGGATTTGGAGTACAATTCATACCATCACTTTTAGCATACAACTTACTCGTGATTATAATCCTTATGGTAGGATGATATTGACAGATGTTTGGCAATACTATCGTTTCAATTGGGGTGTAGTGGTAAGTGCTTCCTATAGATCCTACGTTATTTGATCATGCCACTCACGCTGTTCACGTCTACTCTGGACCACAGGCCTATATAGCTCTGACTTTTATAGTCGGACTCTCTTTTAACCCATTTCGTGATCGATACTACGAGCTATTCTACTGTTCACATGTCATCCTCTCTATCCTTTGCCTAGTGGGCTGTATCGTTCACTATGAACCTCTATGGGCTTGGTCAGTTATAGCCCTCGGTCTCTGGGGTTCTGAACGTGCAGTTCGTCTTCTCATCTGGTTTTGGGTCAATGGTCTTTTCTCTGCCAAACTTGGCCCTCGTCACTTTTGGGCTGCTCAGCCAGCTCACCCTACTCAACTCACTCTTCAGAATCCTACAAATCAAAGCTCTCCCCGTATCTCATTGTTTGCATATGGGTTTGGTGATCTTGAACCCACCCCTGCTCCGTATTCCAACAATTACCATCCAGAATCACCACGTCAAATGTCTTTCAACTCATCAAATCCACCTCAATTCCAATCTGGACTTCAACCTAAGACGCCTACTAGCTACATTCAGATTCCTCCAGGATTTGCACTTGCTCAAGTTTTACCGGGAGAGACTGTACGGCTTACACTGAACCCAATCCAATCAAAGATGAGTTGGAATGTAGGACAATATGTACTTGTCTGTTTACCCACTTTAGGATGGTGGCAAACACATCCATATACGATTTCTAATTCTTATACATTATCTAAAGCCGAAGAGAAACCAGAAATGGTTTTGATTGTTAGGGCAAGAGGAGGATTGACTAGAAGGTTATATGATCAATTGATTAGTGCTCCGACTGGTAAATCATCAGAAACCAATGGAGTTTTAATGAGATGTCAAATCAGTCAACCTTTTGGATCTTCTTCTAGAATTGGTTGGATTGGATTTGAAAATGTGATTGTGATTTGTGGTGGAAGTGGAATTAGTTTTGGGATTGGTCTTTTAGAAGAGCTTTGTGCTAGTTTATCTGGGGTTGGACCGGTTTCTAAAATCAGAAGGATACGATTTGTTTGGATCCTTAGAGATCATGGTTGGTGCTTTTTTTGTTGATGTATTATGTGGTGTTTCATATGACGCATACTGACAAAGACTATGGACTTTTGCATTTTAGCACATTTGAGTTGGGTCGCACCTGCTCTTCGGCGATGTCTTTTGATGGTAACACCTGATCAAGTGAGGGTTGACTTATATGTTTCCTCAAGTAATTCAAAATCGATCCAAAACTCAAACCCCACAGAAGATCAATCGAACAAAAAGCAACAGGTACATGAAAAAGGAATGTTTGATGTAGGAGAAGATGATGATCGATTTTTGCTTGTTCCACCTAATGTACCATTCGGACAACATTCAGATATCAGTCCAAGATCATCAGGTGAATTATCTATAACTGATAGAGCTTCATCACCCACGCCATCTTCTAGAGAAGATTTAACTGAATTTGAAGGAGAAAGACAAGTTAGAAGTGCATTTGATGAAATGATATCTGAGAATGTTAAATCGATTGGTAAACAAAGAAGAAGAAATACGATATCTAAAAGACATCAAAATTTAAATCCAAATGAAAATGACAGAAGTGAATCTAGAGTAGGATTAATTAAAAAAGAAGATCCACATCAACATCAACATAAAAGGATTATTGGAATTGAGAATGGTGGATTTGATATTAATGAAATTGAAAGATTAGATATTGAAGATTTATCTGAAATCGTTAGAGTTGGAAAAGTTGATTTACGTGAGATTTTAGGAATGGAGATTTCTAGATCAGTTGGAAAAAGTATTGTTGCTTGTAAGTTTTTTTTCCTGCCTAAGCCTTCCTTTCGGTTGTGTTTTTATCTTTGGTTTAGTGTAAGAAAACTTATGTTTTGTATGTTGAATGTAGGTTGTGGACCTAGTAGGTTGAGTGGGATTGTTAGAGGTTTAGTAGCAGATCGAGTTAAAGATGGTAACCAAGTTGAGGTTTATACTGAAGATTTCTCATATTGAATAATTAAAAAAATTGGAGAGAAGAGAAGGATATTTTAAGGATCATGGATCTTGGTTTGGATTTTTTCTCTCTCTTTTGTAATCACATCTTTGATATCATACAATACTCATCAGCATATCTTTTTCATTCTTATCATCATCATTATTATTATTTTATCTTGATTGATCTTAAATTGTTTGTAGCCTTAGAATATATGTATGTAAATTTTTTTGATTAGAAGAGATAAGAAGAAGAAATAAAGTTGATTTCAAGAAAATCTTTCTTTTTCAAAAAATGTTTTCTTTTTTTTTCTTCTTGAAATTCTTATCTTTTGACACATTTTTATTGTATCTGTAGATTCTATTTAATTAATAAAGAGAAGAACAATTTTGAATTTTGAATTTGCAGTTTTAAGGAAAACTTTCAATTGTTTTGGGGTTATATCTTTGTTATGATAGACATCAATTTGATTTTTGGGCCTTTTATTTTGCTTCTAATTTCAAAGGCTAACTTAACACAAGTCATTCAATTTCTTACAGGGCTCTTTTAACATTTGCAAGCTTGATGTTCTGAAGAGGGACTTAAGTTAGTTTCAAAGGTATTGATTTCTTGGTCTAAGTTTAGTTCAAGCTTATAAATAGTTTCAGCTCAAAATCGGACCCTTTCTTTCACCTCGGGGTGTCCTTTTCAACCACTCGAAGCGGGCCTAAGAATGAACAATACAGCCGTTTCGAGCGGCTTTCCCCCTATCTCGTATCCATCTCGTTCTCCTCCCCATCTCGGTGACCTCAAACGCGCCAACGTTTTTTATTTTTTTATTTTTTAATACATACGACATCATCTATGTAATCCAAAACATCAAATGTCCTGTACCCGACCACTCGAGCATGAGACCACCCGGACACACTTGAGCAATCGGACACTCAAACACTCAAAGAAGCGACCACCAACAGCACTCACTCTCACAACCCCTTCCTCGACCTTCGCCTTCGTCACAAAAGATAGGATGCAGAATGACTATACAACTACTCAAATCAAAAACGTGTGATGGTGCTTTTCTCTCATCAAAATACTGACGTAAATATCAGATAAGGCAATAGAGTAAGTACTTTAACCTCAGTACTTTCAATCATCTTGCCTGTAGAGACGCAATCAGCGCTGGTTGACAAATCTCCATAGTATCTGTTGTCTCCTTACGTAGTTTAATGGACACCGTACCATATTCTTCAGTCATAACTTCTCATCACATGCGATTGAAAGGCTCTGATGCCAATAAGTGACTTAGAACAGTGGTATACAATTTCGGAGAAAGGTCACTGCGGCTTGAAATCTTGTAATACTATCATATAGTCTTGCTTTCCACTTATTTTCATCTTATTGTGAACATGGAATAGAGAAGAACCTATGCCCGAAGTACTCACATCCACTGATGTATGGAATAGTAACCACAAAGAAAATTATATAGCATAAAGTTTGAAATCGACCGCTACGTGAGCAAGCAACAGTGCCTCTTGAGTCAATGTCACTGAGAAAGACTAAAGTTCAAACACAACACAAACCAAACGCGCCCAATGTATAAAGGCAGGTCCTTTTTTTAATTCCAATGGTTCCAAAAGGTAAATCTAATGATATTTGAAATGAGACTGGGAAATGTAGTGGAGATCAAATATATGAATTTGCTTGTGAGCCAAAACAATCGATTCTTGCAGATGCTGACTTTACAATAGTTGGTATGATTGCGTATGTACATTAGTAAGCTAGTGTTCAAAAATAATTCAAGTTTTTGATTATCTAAATTAAAGAAAGAGGTACACAATTCTAAGTGAGACCTGTCAAAGGAACATTCATGCTAGTATCATCCTTTTCTCCAGATATGTTGCTGATGGGTGGTATGTTATTAACATCAGCATTGAGAGATGTGTTGTCAAGGCGATCAGCGGTACCTGTGTTATCAGAGGGATCGGTGCTGTTAACGGAAGCGATGTTGCCGGCTGTGATATCACCAGGAGGCGTGTTTGTGTTAGGAGTGGGAGGGGTGTTATCATTATTGGCAGGAAGTGAGTCATCGGCGGGATTGACACGTTTGCGTTTAGGATTCTGAGCAGAGAATGCTTCGATTTGCAGGATTTGAATGTTGTTATCTGCAATATCCGATAAAATATCACGAGCTTGTGCAGGGGTAAGTTGATTACTCTCTTGCATCAAGTCGCTTGCTTGAGACTTCGAATTTGAGGCCAAGTTTACAAAGTAGCCTAGATTCAATAGTTTTGCTTCGCAGTCTTTCCACCACCACTTCTTGGCAGCCCCCTTTGTACGTGTACCTAAGGTCAAAGTACCATCAGAAAAAAGATCGGGCTGTAGATAAAAAAGGTGACGTACTGATCAGATTGGACAAGGCTTCCCGACACTCTGTTCGTTCTGTAGATGTAGAAAGAATATCAGTGTCTCAATTTGTTCCGATTGAAATGGAAGTTAGACTCACTATCCACTTTGCCTTTGTTTGAGTTGAGTAACCCAGCCGCAGTGCCAGTCACATAAGACTGGAATTGTGCGGCGACGTGCGTCTGTGGATTGCATTTCTTGTCGTTATCTATCCACATCGAAGCGCGCGGGGTGGCTCGAACAATCTGGTAGGCTTCGTCGCCTAAATAAGTAGATACCCCAATGATGACAAAGTCACCCCGGTACGTTGCTGCCATGTCGTTTGCCTACATATATTTACAGTGTTAGTATTCGAGAGTGAAGAAAATGAAAGAAAATAAGCCAACCTCCAGTTGCCACCTTATCATGAAATCACTGACAGCTGCGCGTGCGCCGAGCAAAGACATATTTTTGGCACGGGTAGTTGTAGAAAGGCCTGATGGTGGTAAGGATGAATCCGTATCAGCTGTGGTATTGATCAATGATGTTGATTGATTCTGTGATTTAAATGCATCTTTCTCTGCCTGGGTTTTTGTGTTCCACAAAGCAGATAGCGAGGTTGAGGCTCGACCATTGGCAACTCCTTTTTCTAAATTATTAAGCAATTGATGAACATATCAATACATTGATGTATAGAGTCTAGAGTCAAGACTTTGATAACTCACGATTTCTATACTCTTCTTTCCCTTGCGCAGTTGCCTGAAATTTTTGCCAGCTGTTTGGCCCTTTCCGCACAACCTTTTGCCCCCTGTAAGATGATATTGTCAGATATCTGATGTCGATGAAAGGAGAAATAGATGACATCTACCATAGTTTTTGTACCGCGTCCACTGAGACCTGATTGTTGATACAATTAATGGCCAATGCTTTGTCAAAATCGTCATACAAACACATGAAGTATGATTGTAAAGCCGGAGGAACCGTAGACCCTTTACAATGTTCCACTGAGAGTATACGTAGTTCGGCTGAAGTCTTGCTCATCATCTTGTCGGATGTCATGATAGGTAGTTCCGGAGTTGATTTTGAAGGAACCCCAAGGAGAGACTTTGGAAGAAAATTGTTGACTAGAGCTCTAGTTTCTGCAGCTTTTGCTGCAGCTAGTGTCAACGTAGGTGTTGGGAGGGTAGGACCGGCTGTTGATGGTAATTGATTATTTTCCAGATTTGAACGGTTGCGGGCATTCTTTTTTGCACGTTTTGAAGGCAACACGGTTGGGCGGAGTTGAGAGGTACTTAAAGTGTCTGGTCGACCTTCGTTCAGTCTTGTGCTGGTCTCATTTCGTGGGTGTGGTTGTATATCAGTTTCACAGCTTTCTGGATTGGCAAAATCAGTATTGTAGGTGTTGTAAAGATGGCTGTTACCACTGAGCCGACCACGCTGGGCGTGGGATGACGGAGTAGACTGCTGAAGATCGGCTCGGACTTGACTTTGCTGGACTCCATGGCCCACTGTTGAGGGCCTGGAAGCGTCTGAACTAGAGAAACTGAGTGAAAGTCTACGATCTTCTTGGGTAGAATGGCCAAGATCATAGGTGCCGTGGATTTGAGTATGAGTTTGAAAGTCCCCGGGTGATTCATACCGAGCTTGAGGGTGAAGGTAGCCTGGGCTTAGCGGGCTTAGCTGAGAAACGTGTGTTTGTGATGACTGGTGAGGTGCTTGAGTATGAAAGGAACCAGCTGGTTGTGTCGAATAGTAACTTGGAGTCAGTGATGAATTGTACGGAGGCCGACTTTGCTGAGCATCAGTGGTGCGTGCTTGTAAGGATTGGCTTTGAAGGGCCCCATATGCCGGACCTGAATTGAGCCGCGTCTGATTGGGATTGTGTCCTGGCGGCCATGAGGGACTGGAAGCGGGCCAAGCAGAGCGGTTGAAATCAAAGTTGTTGCTGGAGTTATACATGGAGGGAAAATGTGCAGAGTTTGATTTTTTCCATTTGTTTCAAGAGAAACAGTGCAAAGTTTTTGGTTTATGATATTCAAGAGGGCAGATACTCAAGTTTTTACTATATAACTCGAGATTTTACCAAATTTCCAGGTAAAAACACTAGTTTCTGCCCTGGATTTGATCGGGTACCAAGATGTACTAGAATTGGGGACAAAACCCAATGAAAGAGGATCAATTTCCACCACCTGAAAGCCAAAAAAATCACTACCATATTTACCAATATGCAGACATCAAAATTTGTCTCCACAATATTATGAGCCTAGCCCAATCAAACCAAAAGATGGTTCATATGATATCATTCTTCCATATGTATCAATATGATATTGAATATAACATACAACTTCAAGAGTGTGTAAAAGTGTGTATTTCATATATTTTGGGCTATGTGGATCAGGCATGCTATTTAGGCTTTTTAATAAATGCAACTTGCAAAGAATATTTAAGCATATCTGGCAAGAGGTGAATGTCCCTACCACACTGAGCGGGAAGGAAGAGTGTGGTTTGTGAGGTATTTACATGTGTCAAAGTGTGGATGTCATATTATATTATAAAATACCTAACATTGGAGAAAAAAATGAGCCCTAAATCAAGGGTTTTGGACCCAAATTGAAAAAGTTATTGGCCTCACAGGCATAGAGCATGTACCTACCACACTGGGTGGAATGATGTGGTTTTGGAGGTACTTACATGGCTCAAAGTGTAGATATCATAGTATATTATGAAATCACTAATATTGGAGAAAAAAATGAGCCCTCAATCAAGGGTTTTGGACCCAAATTGAAAAAGTTATTGGCCTCACAAGGATAAAAAGGGCAGAATGTGTACCACACTGAGTGGAAATGAAGAGTGTAACTTTTGAGGGACTTGAAGATTTCAGCCTGTTGAAGTGATTGTATATTCTGAAAGTACTCACATTGGAGAAAAAAATGATCCCTTCCCCAAGGTTTTTGGACCAGAACTGAAAAAGTTCTTGACATCATGAGGAAATAATGCTCACTCTTGATCTTATTTCAGCATACACATGTGTGTTTAAACATGCAAAAATCCTGCGTGATCACAATTCCTGACTCCACAACTGCAACAAAATCCCAAAACTCACTTAATAGGTGGGAAATATGGCATTCTGACCAACTGGCTGAGTGTAGAATTGGATTCCAAGGTCAGCCTCTCTGATCAGAATTTTACATTTCCCTCATCCTCTTAGTCTTTTGATATGCCAAAGTAAAAGAGAATGTCAATTCCTGACTCCACACCTGCAGAAAAACCCCAAAACTCACTGAACATGTGAGCAATATGTCTTTCTGACCAACTGTTTAATTGTAGAATTCAGTTGTGTTTCCCTTTTTGTTCTTTTTGTTGAAAGAAAGATTGATAGTTGAAAAGTCATTTGAGAACAATATTTACAAATAAAGATAAGGAAATAAATGATGGTGTTTGAAGGCGGTGATTTGAACAATAGTAAACTGGAGTCGATTGTTTTTTCACAAAAGCAGCAAGGCTTTACATAGAAAATAATCGACTTGTTTTTTTGAAAAAGCTATCGTTTCCAAAAGCGTCACGTTTCCTCGTTTTGAAAGTGCCTCCTGCTTATGGATGAAAGCGCTTCATGCTTTTGATTAAAAGTACAACTGTCTAACAACCAAAAGTATGTCTTGCTTTTGATTAAAAGTACCTCTTGATTTTAATTAAAAGCACCTTGCGCTTTTGATTAAATGAAAAGCACCTTTTGCTTTTGATCAGAGCCATATATATAAAGGCTGGAGTTTCAGCATGGGTCCATATCGCCATCTCAACTTTAAAGAGAGCATTGTACTCATACCCATCATTCTCTCATCTCTCTCGTCAAATCACTAGTTGCCTTTTGTTGGAAGGCAGTGTGCCAAAACAATAAATCAACATCTTCTTTCTCATTCGTTCATCACAGCAAGTTGCCTTTTGTTGGAAGGCAGTGTGCCGAAACAATAAATCAACTTGTAAAAAAACAGACAACCTCAAGTACCAAGACTTCTTCCAAGAAACCAACCTTACAAACGAAATTTTAGCTTATACCCATTCGATCCATCTGTGGTTCATACCTATGTGTAGCTTGAATTACCAAATAACTATGATAAACTGTGAAATTGTTCCTTCAAACTGTGTACTCTCCTTATACCAATTTAGTACAACTCCTCAACTTAGATTACTGATGATTGGTGGACAAGTCACATTGCGAGAAGGTTTGATACCTTCATCTTCGACTTGGAAGCACTTCTTACTGGTATGGATCAATCCATATCGTGGATTGATTCTTATTCATATTACGAATCAGAATTGCAGAGAGACAAAAAGACAAGATGGGGTCTTGATGATCGTAGATTGATCGTACTGTTGTAGAGGCATGTGGGATCAATGAGAGGTGGTAGTGGAGAGGTTTACTGAGGTTGAGTGAAGACTAGAATTTCTATACTTGACGTGTCTGTAGTTTTCAATATGGATTTTTCCTACCTTTATAAAGAGAAGGAGGTGTTCAATTTCAAAACAAAGGAAGGGAGCAAATATGCTCTTGATAGATGCGATATATTTCAAAAAGCAAGTAATATAAAAGTAAAATTACAAGGCAAAACTGAAAGTATAAACTATTCAAATAATAAGGCTTCTGGATCTAATGTTTCTGGGTCAACAGCAGCCTTAATCTCCTCCAGATCCAAGCCGTGCATAAGCCCAGCAGCCTCATCTTCATCATCATCGGAGCTTTCCGCATCATCATCACTCTGATGATCTGAGATATCCTCCCACACGTTCTCTTCTACATATGTGGCGTGCACATCACCCGGTATCATTGAGAGTTTGCCATTATTCCACATATTCATGATGTGATCAATCTGGCTGATCCAGACGGCCTTCAATTCTTCGTCGCCAGCTTGGGAGCATGTCTGAGAGAAAACTTCAAGTACGTCTTCGTTCCACAACAGCTGATAGTTAGTGATCTTAACATATTGATTTTGAAGAATGACACTGGCCGCAATCAATTGTGTTTCAGGTGGCAAGGATGATAGTATGGGGTGGGAGATGAGAGGCGTGGCTGGTCCAAATCCAGAGTCCGTCGGGCAAAGTAGAAATTGAAGACATGTCCAGATGCGATCATGAGAACTTGTTGCCCAACGCATCAACCGGCGAACCTCCCAACCTAAGCGCCTAAGCTCCTCTTGTGCTCGGTCGATATAGGCAAGCTGACGCATCCCATCCCTTGTCTTTGGATCAGTTGCCCATGGATCTTGAAGTTTCGTGAATATTGAGTCGTTCCAGAACGGGTGATCTGCTTTGATTTCATTCAAAGCATTATAGTCGATGTCCTCAGGAAGCTGTTGGGCAGGATACTTGGCTTGATATTCTGCCCGGCGAGTGCGGTATGTATCGACTTTTTTCCTCAGCTGTGCCGCACGCTTTCGAAGAGCAAGAAGAACAGAGGTCTTTCCACGCTGACCTGTAATAACCAGCATTAGTGTTGTCATTCATCTTGTGTTTCAAATGATCAAATACCTACCTATATTTGAATGATGCCCATCTGCACGACTCTGTTGCAGCGGTCGCTTTTCCTCATTAAGTGCAATGTAATACAATGCAACCTCGTGCTTGCTGTACCAAAGCTTCAGAAAATCCTCTTGCTCGGTTGCTGATGATGAATAGAGACTTACAGATTATATCAACCCAGTTGACCAGACATATAACAATGAATAATGAAAACTGACAAGTATGGAAAACTTCCGCAGTGCCTACTTTTTCAGCCTGTTTGACAATCTCCTCCCTAAGGCGCTCGCTTTCCAGAACTCGGGCAATGGACTGTTCAGGTGTTTGAGCCACTCTCAACCTGTTGAAGTATATGAATTGTAATGATGTCTATTAATAATCAGTCATTGGGGTATGCAGAAGTTTTGACTTACAATAAAGCTTTTTGTTTGTCTTGTAGAGATAGTAGTCTCCCGAGTTCTAGTTCTTGTTTTTGCATAGCCACCTTCTTGCTTGCATATGCCTCGCGCTCAGAATCCCACTGTTCGCGTAAAAAGGCGTCCGAATACATATGACCGGGTTGGGCTGGGTTAGGTGTGGCAAATAGTGAGGTCAAGAACGTCTGAGCTTCTTGACCTACCTTCATCGCATTTTGTATACGTTTGCGAAGCCACTGGGCTATTTAATTCAGATGGATAATTCTGTTAGCAAATCTCGCACATGTATAAGAGCAAAATTATACATACCGCTTCCCTGGTTGAGCTTTGTCTTATAGAAGCGATTGCGCCAATATATAGCTTGTAGTCGATGGAGTCGGGTTGATATGCGAAGAACAGACACAAGGGCTGATAAAAAAGACCAGAGCCACTCAAGGCCCTCGCCGTCTGACAAGCCCCAATACTTATTGAAGCGAGGGTTGAATTTTATCTGACAGGCCCACTCGTGCACATATGCATGGAAGACCGATGTACCAAACATCATCTTGTTATCGGGTGGGAAGAGCTGGCGCTATGATTGAACAATTGGACACAATTTAATCAGCTAATGGGGCAATTGAAATCGAGTAACACGACATGGACTTACCTTTGCGATATGGGCACCTAAGTGACATCCAATGTCATAAAGTACAGCTATGTGCTTATCAGGATAGATTGATCGAAGTTTTTTTAGAATCGCCACAGGATAATATAGCCTATAATCCAAAAAAGTCAGTTTTTGATATTAATGTTGTGTAATGCTGTGGGCCCTTACTTTTCACCACTTTTGTAGATATTCACAAAGTAAAGTGCGACATCGTGACGGCAAGCACATGCAAATAAACCCGTGTCGTCACATCCATCCCAAGACTGGCTATTGCGAACGTCGTTGGCAGCTGTATGGGAATCAGAACATGCGGTCTGCAATTGGAGGGTTGATCCACAAACCTGTTTAGTGACATTCAGTAATAGATGTGAAAAATGATAAGCATGAAATACATACCTTGATGCCAACCGCTACAGCATCGGTTGCTTTACAGGCAGTGACCTGAGTCTCAAGCTGGCTAGGGCAAATGAAAAAAGGCGGATATTGTTCTTCTTCTGGCGAGTCCTTGCTAGCATGCGATTGATGACGCTGTTGGAAATTGCCATCCATGGCAATTATAAAATCGGGTTCGTCAGGGGAAGCCTTCTCTTCACCTTTTGCAGGACCAAAGCATAGGGAACATTGCTCGGCAGAAATATCGTGAGATGTATATTCAAGACCTTCTTCGAATAAAGTTTGTTGACCGAGTAGGACTCGACGATAAATGTCGATGGCTTGAGTGAAAGGATGTCGCAGACTCCTGTTGATATTCTTTTGGCGATTTCTCTTGAGCTGTCGAGGTTTCATTCTTGAAGTACATCGTTCATCCAGAAATGACATCAGGGCGTCAAGGAATCCCGTGGTTGAGATTGTGGTATTATTCCACAGGTGATGGTGAAATTGGATGAGTCGGATAGAAAATCCAGTGCGTGGATATTGAGGCGAGCCAGCGATGTATCCAAGTTGAAGAAGTCGGATTACATCGGGTACACAGTCACAGAATGTGATTAGCTGACGTCTACTTCGGCCTAAAGAAAGAAGTGAAGGTATAGTTAATAAATTGAAAAAATATATAAGAATCCAGAAGACTTACTGAGAAGATCAATCAAGTCAACAGACCTCTGTCGGCAATTCTCGGGTAAACAAGCACATTTGATTTCGTCGTTTACATAAGAGTGCTCTGTTGTCCAATTGAGTGTACGGTTTTGTAAGTTCAGGTACATGGCGATGATCTTATTCTCATGGGCTAGCCATTTCTTTGCTCTTTTTGCTCGGGCTTCTGCACGTCTAAGTTCTTTCTGATACTGAGCATACTGATTCCCTGAAGAGTCAATCACTGAGGATTCACCATTGTTGATGCCTTGGAAATCATTCATTTCTTCTGGAATGTCTTCCCACTTGTCATCGCCCGGTTCTAGAGAAGACTGTTGAGGAGGAGGTGAGGGTTGAACAAAACCAAGGCTCTGGCTGATCTTTTTAGCAACTCCGGGGGTCACACCAGGTGGCGAGACATCACCTCTTTGACGTTTACGTGATCTTTTGGGTTTTTCATGGCCAAAAATATCCGGATTACTCCCTGTTGCTTTGAGTTCACGGCGCCCCATTGTCGAGTCGTGATTTAGGATGACTGAAGTATTATCCTCAAGTCTCGAATTTGGGATGACTGAAGTATGTGGTGGTTAGTATTTTGGATTACGTTGTGGGATGCTGAAGTCAAAGATGATTATGTGGTGTGACTTGCCTATAGTAGGAACTTTGAGTGTTTGAGTGTCCGATTGCTCAAGTGTGTCCGGGTGGTCTCATGCTCGAGTGGTCGGGTACAGGACATTTGATGTTTTGGATTACATAGATGATGTCGTATGTATTAAAAAATAAAAAAATAAAAAACGTTGGCGCGTTTGAGGTCACCGAGATGGGGAGGAGAACGAGATGGATACGAGATAGGGGGAAAGCCGCTCGAAACGGCTGTATTGTTCATTCTTAGGCCCGCTTCGAGTGGTAGAAAAGGACACCCCGAGGTGCTCAGAGAGAGTCTCAGAAGAGTCTCAGAGCGACAGAGTCTCAGAAAAAGACTGATACTGTTACGCTCCCGACAGTTAGGGAGAAGGCCGATTATATATGGCGGCATGAACAGCTATGAAGTCAGACCGGAATCTATGTATTTTGCACCGAGAGGACGCCTGAAGACGTGGCTTCAAAACGGGGCTTGCTGAGAAGTTATGTGGATACAACTGTATATTACGAGATTTCCTTCCACCTGCGGATACAGGTGGGCTTTCGTGTGTGTTTTGCTTTGATAACAAGGGCTTGAGCCTCACGGCGAGTTTGGGTGGCGATTGCTGATACAAAAAAGAAAATGGGTCAATAATGAAACTTGACACAAGTCCTTTGCCCAAGCCAAATTTACCGGACAGGTCTGAGGCTTGATCAGCGAGGGACTTGAGCCAAGGTCAACAAGTGTTAGTGGTAGAAGTTTGGACAAAAATTAATAAAAATACAGTGACCGTGTAGACCCATTTAACTCCCATCAATCCTTAAGCAAACAAGAGAGTTCCAATAATGATCAACTTTTGATACAAAAACTTGATCATCATGACTTCAAAACATTAAACTTTTCAGAATACAAACTCTTTTTATATGATTCAGGTTTTGAAATGAATTCAATTACAATTAAATAAAACAACATCATCCCATTTTACAAAGAGATGAAGAAGACAAGCTTGTCAAAAGAAATCAAATAGAAAGAAAAAGTTTAAGTGACCTTTACATCAATGAAATTACTATCGATTGAGCCTAACTGATCATAATAAAGAGTACAATGAGAAAATGAAATCCGAAAAGAGACAAAAGTGATTCTATATCTAATATTTCGATGACTTGAGTTCATATTAAGATTTCTTGTTCTTCAACTGGAGAAGTTACAACAGATCTTTCAAGATCATTGTCAGGTTGTGAGATCTGAAGTTGATTAGGTGTAGTAAGTTTACGTGATCCTTCCATTTCAGTCGGTTCAGTACGAGAACGAGAACGAGAAGGGGTTGACAAAGAAAGATTCGAAGGAGGCGAAACAGGTAAAAGTAAACCGGTTTGTTCTTCGATATCTAAATCTCCTCCAATAGTTCTTCTTCGTCTACTTCTACTTCTACTTATACTCCTGGTTCTTTTTCTTCGAGGTAATCGATTTGATGAATAAAGTCGACTTTGAACAAAAATCGTAAAATCAAAACAAAGTGTACCACCAGATCCAATTAAATAAGGAAACGATTCAGCAAGATAACCAACTTGATTCGAAACTTGTGGTGAAGTTAAAACACTGATCACATAAGTTAAATTTCCTAAAAATGCCATGACGAAAAGTGTCATAGATAATCCTTCGACTGATTTTCTACAATAGTTTTTCCAAATTTGCGGTAATCTAGACGTAAGATAAAGTATTGCACATAACCAAGCTGATATACGTCCAATTAACCGTTGCCAATCAAAACTGACTATTACTGGTTGTTCTGAATTTGAAAATGATCTTCGTTTAAGTACTTGATCAAGAATAGGAAATTTTGTAGAACCTGAATCGTATTTCATAAGATCAGAAGTAAGAATTTTGTTATCCCATGCTCTAGAGATTCCGCCTAAATTTTCGCCAGCAGGGTAGAATTTGGCAGTATTGAAGACAAGAAAAGTGAAAATACCAAGGAAAGCAATAGAAGGCAACACAGAAGGTTGCGGGCTTCTTGGTGGACTGGTTACTAAGCCTCCGTTTGAGACAGACCGTTCGTTTTCATTAGGATTCCAAAGTATGGTAGTCGTACTGAGAGGAGCCAGTCTAGCATGATTAGAACGTGCCAAAGATCTACCACGTTGATCATGAGTAGGAGACCTGACTACAGTACCACCAGAGTCTGAAACTGGGCCTGCGTTTGAGATCGGCGTTTGATCAGACTTTGTTGAAAGGAATGATGCATCCATAGCACCACCACCACCACCACCCATACTTTGAGAAGAAGTTTGTCTAGGACGACCTTTTCGAGACATTGAACGAGTATATTCTCTAGCTAGACCGCCAGGAGATTCAAGTTGAGCAGCTGAGACTTGACGTAAGTGTCTTCTCCAACGTTCTTCAGGGGTTTCAGTTTCATTAGAGAATGGTGATCGACTGAGTGAATTAGAGTCATGGTGTCCTAAAGGTTGATAATCAGGTAAAATAGGCCTTGAGTAAGTTTTGAATTGATAGATTAAAATCAAATCCACTAAAGTAAAGTAAATAGCTAAGTTTCTTTGAAATGGTAATTGTTCAGTGAGTAAACAACCTAATAGATTAGTCAAATCACCCGATAACCAACTCAATAAGAAAGGTAATGCTAAACCATCTACTGATTTTGAACGATAGTTTTTCCAAATCTGAGGTAATTGAGCAAATAACCAAGCTATTTGTGAAATGGTACCTTTAAGATGTTTCAAATTTAAAAGACATCATGATCAGTGATAGTCAGAAGAAGAAAGTTGGATTGAGTTGAAATAAATGAACTTACCAAAGAAATCGGAAACTCTTGCTGAGCTGTTGATAGTGGGTTCTTTCATCTTTCAGATAAGAAGTAAGTTTGAATTGCAAGGCACTGGGCCAAACGCAGATGGGGACTATGATCCGGCCTCGCATGAGCTGGCCAAACTGTCGGGCGGGGACAGGCCCTGTGGCAACCCGCAACCCATCAGGTCCGTCAGGGCCAGACCAGGTAGAAGAGGCCAATTGCTTGGTGGGAAATTTAATCATATGCTGAGTTTGAAGTGTCCCAATTTGTGGAAAGCTTGATTCTGTTAAAGGAGTGTTTAGTGACCCTTACACCGACTGACCAACACTTCTATACTCATTTACATTTATCATCCATCATCAATTATCCATCATCCATCCTTTATGATATCAATTATCAAATGTAAGAAGGTCCTAAATCATACATTGGCCAATTATTTGAACTTATACGGGCTTCCACATGAAGCTTACACTCAAGGCAAACAAGATGTGTTAAACTTACACAGAATTACATTAGGGGGGCTCAAGTCAAAATTTTTTACTACTTTTATCGTAAAAAACTTTTCCCAGATTTTTTTGAGCAGTAAATTTACGCAAATTTGCGTAAATTTGCTGCTCAGAAGGAGATCCAAAAGAAATTTTTCTGGTCCGTTTTTACGAATTGGGAAAAGTTTTTACAGCACGGTACCGTAAAAAACTTTCCCCAATCTTTTAAGAAAAGGCCGCAAAAATTTTGACTTGAGCCCCCTTATTCTCTTGAATTTGATTGGTCTTTAAGTACCCATCTCTCAAACCTTTATCTTGGCATTTACAATCTATAACTTGGCAATGAACAATATTTTTACAATCACTTTTGTAGGTAAACCAATTCAGAAAAAAAATCACCACCCCTTTTCACTCAAACCATCATAATATCAAACCCAAAATCAAAACTATAAATCATTCAACAAGCAAAAGCTATACATATGCATATTGAAGAACATCCATCTTCCTAGTTCACCAGAATTCGATCCTATTGTACCATGAAGCCAGATAGTCAACCAAGACAAACCAATCAAACAGCTGTTACAGATTGGTCTCAGGGGAATTCCAACCAAGCATATGTTCCAATCTGTTCTCAAATGACCCGTGTATACCTTGTAACCAGACAAGTTTATAAGGTCTAAAGGATATCTAATCTAACTAATGAAATGCTAATCATAAACCAATAAAGAGAGAGTCAATACAACAATCATATCTATAATTCCATACTCCTCTCCATTTTTTTTAAAAAAATGAAAAAAAATCTTCTATATCAATCAAATAACTCCATTTATCTATTTACATTAAATTAAGAAACAAAAGCAAAGAAAATCAAAAAAAAACTTGATATGCACTTCTAAACACTTTCAACCAAAACCAAAACTATGCCAACTTTTTTTTTGGTTTTTTTTTGACTTCTTAAAACCATTCATGTGATATCCAAAAAATGTTCTCTTGACATTAACATTCCTTTTGTTTTGTGTGTCTCTACACAATCATTTCCAATCAAATGAATTGAAATGATCATTACATATCATATTCTTCAGCCATCATCATAGCCACTAAACTTGTCCAACCCGTAAACGGTTTAGATCTTCTACCTTCACCATTCATAGGATCATACTGTTCCCAAGTAAATCCTGTTCTTTTCCATTCCTATAAATCACAATCATCATCATCAGTTTATTCAGATTTGAGGATGAGAAAACTGATCAAGAACAAAGAAAATGAAAAAAATCGTTCAAAGAAGATAGTTTCGGTACTTACCTTATAAACATTCTTAATCACATTTTCTCTTAATTCACTATAAATTCCAGCCGCTAATTGTTGATAAGGACCAGCTTCTTTAGCATAAGTCTGCACAATCCCGCACAAAAAAAACCAAACCAAAATCAGTATATCCCACACAGACACACATTTAGAATCCATCAAACGGAAAAGATGTAAACCTTACATTATAAAGTGAACAAAGTGCCATATAATTCATAGGAATCCAAATCGGTCCTCTCCAATAATTCTCACCTTGACCAAAGAATTGATCACTTAATGATAAACTACGGATTCCAAATTCAGACCAAACTCCATCCGGATCTCTAATATCCTTTAAGATCGAACCTAATCTGGGAGAGTCGGGTGAAAGAAGTCCTAAGAAGAATGGAAATAATGAAATGTATCCTTTATGACAGACATGATATGATTCATCTAAAATTTCAAGAAAAATCATTTTAAACTCTCCATCAATTTTTCTAGATCAAAAAACCAATTGATTTCGTGATCTTACTTACCATTCTCGTTCACACTAACATCACAGTACATCTGTTTCTCTTCATTCCAATGCAAATCTAAAAAAAGTCCAAAAAATACTCAAATCATCAGCTTACATCACCTTTCTCAAACCTTTAAACCCAATCCGAATGGCGCAAAAAAAACCTCATCATACCATCTATATTGGCCAAGATAGCCTCATACGTTTTCTCATATTCCATCACATCATCCTCTTCACCCACATATTCTGCAATCTGTTTCATAGTCCTAGTAAAGAATCCCATCCAACAAATCAAATCTAAATGTAATTCACCCGGATGTGGTGATCCTCTCGGATAATCATCTATACCAGATGTCAACACATGATCTTGAGTTCGACCTCTCCATCTATATCCTTCACTCTTACTCCTCGACTCTCTTCCCCATTCTCGAATTTGCCCAATTTGTGTTTCTTTGAACCATTCATAATGTAATTTCAATTTAGGATAAATCTTTTCTAGAAACCCTTTGGCTAACACTCCATCTGATAACAATCTTTCGCCTGGTCTCACTGATCCTGTCATCACTTGTTGAGAAGTTACATCAAGACCTAGTTCTGCATCACTAATCGCTCCTCCTGGTTGTCTTCTTTGAAGTCGTTTAATGTAAGATGTCACGGCCATCGTCAGTGTGGGTGGATTGGCATGATTAGAATATTGGGTTTGGAATTCGGTAGGAACTTTGCTACGAGCTTCTTCTCCTAAGATTTGTTCTCGAGCTACCCATCCATCTCGATCGATGAGATTCATCCAACTGCGTAAAATCTCAAGACTGTAGTATCAGATCACCAAAAAGAGAAATACAGTTGAGTAAATCAGCAAGCTAGATGATGTCATTCAAATCTATCTGTGGCTCAGCACCAAGCTTTCACTCATACCTCATGTCATTATCCCAGGCACCGATCAGAGCAAGATGGAAACCCTCGTCCCAATAGAACCCACGTGGAAAGAAAGATCGACTAGGAGTAGCCGTGAAGAGTTCCCGATCTTCAGTCAATTGTGGATCACGAGTACGTTGTCCAGATTCGGTTTCTTCAGTATGACCCGTAAGTAATAACCCATCATCATCATAATCATGAGCAAAGTTTCGATCTACGATTGAAGAACCATAAAAATATCCAATCCCTCCAATCATACTTGAAAGCATCTCTTTGGCCATGACTTGTTGATCAGATGTGAATTCAGATGAAAAGATTTTAGGAAACGATTTCTCAAATCGATCATTGAAGGCTTCTGATGCTGCTGCTAAACCAGCTGAGAGTGAGATCGAATCTAATTTAGGAGCTCCATCTCCATCAAAAAAGATTTCAAGTTCAAATGGGGCCTCGTAGGTCTTTTGTACGGCATAGAGATTGCTTCCATATCGGATCTCATTGGGTAGGGAGAGCGTCAAGGCTGGGTCTGGTAAATTCTCCTTGGTATACTTGTCGATCAGTCCATGGACACGTTCATTGATGGCCGTTATAATGCTTTCTGAAATCATCAATTGGGAAAGATGAGTTAGAAGCAACCCAAAATGACCACAGTCCTTTGATCATCGTTTCAGTTTCGATTTCGATTTACCTTTAGCTTTCCATACGGTACCGGCTGGCATTTGAATTCCAAGATATTGAGTACGATCCATTTGTTCACCGAAATCAGAGGCATGATTACGAGCCTGAAGACGAGAATTAGTTGGACCTTTAATCAAGGATAGATAATGATCAGTAAGAGAGAAGACAAATTTGAGTTGGAACCGAGTGATCCTACTCACTATCTTGTACTCGAATCGTGAATTCGCCCAGTTGTGTGGTTGAACCTGAGATTTTAACAGGTCCTTCAATACCCTGAGAAATCAAATCGAAGAAAATCAGATTTCTGCTTTTGTCATTTTATTGGTGTTTGAGATAATCCTCACCTCATCATCTTCTTCATTCTCCAATTGAAATGTTCCTAAACCATCTAGTCCAAAATAATTGATCATACTAATCTTTGCAGGTGCAGCTTGAAAAAAGGTTGACAGAAAATCAGTTATATCCTCAAAAATCGCAAGACTTTTTCGACTTACCTGGATTCAAACGTTCTCCACGTATCCTTACACCCCAACTTCCGCCTAAACATCAAGAGATATATATCCAACAAGAACAAATTGATCAGATGAGTCAAATTTTTTGGGGGAAAGAAAGAGATAAGCGAAGAGAAAAAGAAGACAGACCATGAGCACCACCTTCGACTTTCAATAGTTCAGATTCGATTCTTACATTATTCAAAACATCATTCACATAATGTTGACCACTTGTTCTACCATCATGAGTTTTCCAACCATAGCCAGCTAAATCATCACCTTGTTCACATGCATGTCTTGATTCTAACCGAACCAAAAAAAATAGAAACAAAGAAAGAATTAATTAGTTTTCAAATCGATTTTGGTAGGTTTAAAAAAAAGAAAAACACTAACTTGAAAAACTAGAAAAGTCATTCACACCAAACCAAATTGATCCCATCATTAATGAATTTGGTAAACGAGGTCTTAGACCGAAATAAAGATTAGGTCGATATGTACCCCATAGTAACGAATCATGTTCTGAAAAGTCTTGGATTGGATCTGATGAAGAAGTACTTGAGGATAAGATGATAAGATGAGATAAGAAGAATAAGAGTTTAGGATTGAAGCCTATGAAGGGCTTCATGATAGATGTGTGACTTTTAGAATGGTTGAGTTCTGTTGGATGGTTTATGGAACTGAAGTGGAGTGAGACTGAGTGTGTTCGTGGAAAAGAAGAAAAGTGTGAGTCACGTGTGTGAGATCGATCGATCGGTCACCATAGTGACCATGATGATGACGTAGTGATAGCCACTCTCAACAGGACCAACTTCAACTCTCAACTTCTCAATCTCATCACTCAATCACCCTCAATAACTATTCTCATTCTCAAGAAGTTGCAAATCATCAAAGCCATGGCTTCAAATCGAATGATATCCAAGTTAATCACCAGATCACTTTCAAGTCAATCATCAAAAACAATCACTCCCATCAAACTCAAAACCTACAAAGGAACTTCTCCATTATACTTACATCCCTCAACCACATCCACAACCACATCCATTAGTTTCTTATCCAAACCACCCATCTCTTTAAACTCTCCTACAATCTTAGGATCCTTTTCGGATTCATCTTACTCTAAATTCGATTCGAATCCTGCTTTCTTACAACTTATTCATCATACTTTTCAAACGATTTATACGTCTGATCCTTATTTAATTGATCTTTCGAAATCTCGTCAAGATCTGGGTCCGGATGGTTATATACATCTCTTTGGTAAACTTTTATCTTTCTTTATCCATAGTTTCTTACAAAAAGACTGATGTTCTTTTTTTGCGGGACGGGGGGGGTTTCAAAAGATCAAAGACAATCTAATTCAGATATATCACATAGAGGTGGACCAAGTGCAGAATCGATTATTTTTTCATTTCTGGTGAATTCGAAAACAGGTTTACCTTTACCTGAAACATATGAATCGAATCCGGTCTATAGGATTTGGACACCCAATGAAGGGTTTTTGATCTTACCTAATTCTTTACAAAGCTCTTTATTACATTCATCTGAATTAGTTTATCAAATCGAATCAGAAGAATCATTGAATGATTGAATTAAATTCAAGAAATGATCACACAATATGGAAAAAAACAACTGAAGCTTACTGTTTCACAGTTATTAACCTGAACTTTTGGGTCTTGTTATTGAGAGTTGGATCAGATCTCATGGAAATCAAGAGGGAGAGCAAGGAAAAGAGATAATTGATGAAAATTCCAGGGCGCATTCACTTAAGCAATTTCTGGTCAGGAATTGCATTTTGCAAGATTGAAAGTCTTGGTCTGATGCCAATGGGGTATGGTTCATTTTTTGCATTTTGAGATTTACAGGTTAAATGAACATGATTCAAGTCTTTGTGGATAAATAAATAGAATGTAAGTTTGAACTTGATATTCCTTTTAATCAGCCTTGCCTAGAGAAAGTATGCTCAAAGAGGTTATAATCAAATCATAATCCAAGATTTTCATTACATGTAGAGTTTTGTGTGATTTTGAAGGATTTCATGAAGTTGATTTTGAAATATGTAGTATGCATAAGAAGTTTAGGCAAGTTTGGGTGAAGCTTTCAAAGGTCCATAAAACATTTTTCATTGGTTTTTACATAATTATGGCGTTCAAACATGCGCGAGAAATTTGCAAGTTGTGAGAAAGTTCTGTGCAAGTTCTTTTAAACATCTTGCATAGAACTTCCACAAAACTTGCAGACTTAAGAAAGTTATGTGTGAACCTAGGCTTCCCTGCTTCAAGGACTCAGTTTGCCCTTGATGAGATACATACAGCAGGGGGTTGTGAAAAAATTAATTAAGCAAGATCCGTGCAAGATTTCTTGCACGGATCTTGCACGGATCTTGCACGGATCTTGCACATCGGTTTTGCAAATTTCTTGCACATGTTCAAACGCCATAATTATGTAGAGAGAACTTACACTTTATACTGCCAGTATTGAAGAGGTTCCCAGATGGCAATATTGGTCCTAGGGACCAGATTCCCCTTCAGCTACTGTTAAACAGCTCCATGAATATTTCCCAAGTATCCATTGTGATACATATATGTAGAAGAGTACTCATAGCAAGTGTGTAGTGCTACATGTGTGGTGCCACATACTTTCAAATTTTGTCTTGGAGAGGCAAGATGACCTAAACTGACATTTTGAATCACACAATTTGTCAGATAGAATTCAAAATGTCCTTTTCTTTAACTTGTTATGGTATTAATGTTTTCGAATGTGTGTTTCAAGCTGAATAAAGTCACAGAATGTGTTATATGTGATTTGCTTATCCAAAGAGCAGAGAACTGAGTGGACCTGTATGTAGCTGATAGCTAAGGATTTACTCAGATGTTTGCACATATGTAGCATATGCTTTATGGCTCAGATGTGCAGTTTGAGATTAGCCTGAGCCCCAACCCAAAGAACACAGGTAATGGCCTACCCGCACCCCAAACCAATATTGAATAAGCCCCCCCACACCCAAACCCTACCCTGAACCAATCAAAACCCGGCTCTCAGAAGCCCCCCAAACCCTATCCCAAAGGCCTAAAACCTGCGGGTAGCCGGGGATCCCTGTGTATAACATTGGGGGATTGAGGACTACGCCCCCTGCCCCAAGCCCTATGGCCCCCCCAATGTACTGGGGTCCAAAAAAGACTGACCAAACCCGCACCCCAACGGTTTTGGGGGTCGGGGAACCCTTGGGGCCTCAGTTTTGGGGCTCAGGCTGAGTTTGAGATGATTTGATGACCGGTATACTTTCAACCATGTTCCCAGCCTAGGCCATGTTTCCACCAAGGAACTTTTTTAATGCTGGCAGAAATTGTTGATCTTGTTTTAAGAAACTTGTTGAAGGAAATTGACAAAAATAAATCCTTTTTTTCTATAATTTCACTTTGGATAATATGATTCTAAAGTGACAGATAGAGTACAAAAAAATCCAGTCAAACCCCTCTAAATCCATACCCCTTGGTGGAAAGGAAAATCTCTGGCTATAGAGGGGGTGTGTCTTTGTTGGGGAACACCTCTATGAGCATACAGTCAAACCCACTCAATTGCATACCTGCACAGCTGCATAACCTGTGATAATGCATAGAAAAAATTCTCAATCTTGATGATTTTTACTGCCAAATTTGACAGCAGAATTTCATAACCCGTGAAAATGCATAGCAAAAGTCTTCCACCCATATTATGTGATTGCGCGGGTTCAACTGTACATTCATGGTTACAAATGTAATACCCTCTAAGAGCATCTGCAATTGTTGGGTTAAGTTGTGGGAATAGCTAAATATTTAACCTAAAGCTCAAAATAATTTCACAAGAGTGAATCTGTAGGGAATCTATAACCAAGTTTGCAACAAAAAATCTCTAAGCTGGTACAAATTTATCCCAGTCTAGCTCTTGCTATAGCTAACTTGCCCTCAAAAACCACCAAAAATACCAACCTCAACTTGACTTGCCATTTCTCAACACACCTCACTTACACCTTCACTCAACAATCTAGCCTCCAATCATCAATCACAATATTCATTGATTTCCATCAATACCACCACAAGTTCAACTCTGCCGCCTTGCTCATCCTTCACCTCAATCACTTGGCACTCTCATCATCTTCTACCACCACATTCACATCCAACCCCAAATTTAGAGTTCAAAAACAAACATCATGCTCTAGGACAACTTTCTTTTTCAAATCTCAACTTGATCTATGTATTCAATACTCAGTTGTATATAACTTGAAATTGATCTCTTGGCTTGAGATCATATGAATGGATGATTTGATTTGTAATGGGTCTTTGAATAATTTATTCTATTGTTTCCTAGCATCAACACATCATCCAACATCAAATATATAGACAATGAGAGGCAGAAATCAACTTCACTTTGTGTGAGTTATACAACATCATGAAAGTTGGAGCAATTAGAAAATAAATCTGTTTTTTGTTTGAACCAGCATACATTGAGCTAATAAGTAAAAGAGACAAATTGATATTGTTATTGAAACATAAAGTGAGGAATGATCAGAGGAATTTGTTGGTTGTTTGAGAATTGGAGACAACTTAGCTTTTAACTTGAAGCATACAGTTGTGGTCTGAGTCTTTAATTTGGAGTTAAGAATGTAATTTGAAGCCAACAACTGTGGGAAGTAGCATGAGATTAGTTGACCCTGGCTAACAATCATTAAATTTAGCTAAATAACTCCAGTTTCAATGCAAACGGCTGTGGATGCTCTAAAGACATAGAAAACATGGCTGTAGAGGGTTTTTGTCAACCTAGAGAGTAATTACACTTACTCCTAAGGCAGACAATGAAAAACATAAAAGCAAAAAAAAATCTCAAAACCCCATAAAAAAGTTTTGAGATAGATTATTAACACCTCACACTTGAGTTTCAAGAGTGAACCAAAAACCACATAAGGGTCTACTTTGCCACACAAGTGTCTACAACAGAAAAACCCCTGCCAGGGATGAAACCACCCTCACAAGAAACCAGAACTTTGAAACCAGACCAAGACAACTTTAGGCTGAGTATGCACCACAGTGTCTAATACAAAATATGACCAACTAGCCTAATAGAAATCAAAGAAACCCTAACCAGGGTCTAAGCTTTAGGGGTACACAAACATGAACACCCGACCTAAAAACCCATGGACAAAACCCATGACAACCAGATTGTTTTTTGGGTTTTGTCCATGGGTTTTCCGCTTTCCCGTTGGACAAAACCCAAAAAACAATCGGGCTGTCATGGGTTTTGTCCATGGGTTTTTAGGTTGGGTTTTCATGTTTGTGTACCCCTTTTGTTACCAAATTGAAATAACCAAGCCATCCAATTGGGGTGTTGTTCAAACCCTGACCAGGTATGTAAACGTATTCACTAGATACCACCAGGAAGATGTATTACTATAAATACTACTCAATCAAGGCATGAAAGAAAAATCACCATCTCATCATTTACCACATAAATTAACTATCTGGTCTCAAAAGCATTTAAAAAATTTTATTCTAAACCACCAGCCAAATTACTTCAAAAATTAGAACCAGTTTTAGATTTAGAGCTAAATCAACTACTCTTATTTTTTCTGATCCATTGTGGTTTTTATAAACTCTTTCCTGCTTCATTAAGTCTCAATTAGAAGATTGTATCACAACAGACCAAGGTCATCATTGAAAAGCAACCAAACCTTTCATCTAACATAATTCTCAAATCTGTGCTTTGAATCATAGAAGATCAAACTTCTTGGCCTAAAACATAGTAGAATTTAGATCACCCTGAGATAGGAGTATCTAGGATACCCATCTATAGAAGACTATTAGAATATTGTCCAAAATATTCAGTAAGGACTCAATTTTGTTACAAGACTATAAATTTGTATAATTTAGAACTGACATGACTGGCTCAAATTTATCTTGATAGAAAGTCAAACTTCTTGTTGCAACAAAGCCGACAACTTTTAGCTAATAAAAGCAAGTTTTTCCTTTAGTTTGGTCTCTTATTTAGACTCAAGCTGATAGTTTGAAAGTGTAGCCATACATTTACAACCCTCTAAAGACATAGAGAACATGGCTGTAGAGGGTTTTGAATGTATAGCCATAGGAACTATGTCTTGATGTATATGGCTTGGGCTGTCAGCTGATTTTGCTGAAAAATAATCTGCTATCAAACTTTTCAGTATTTGATCTATTAAGTATTTTATGACAATAAAATATGGGAGTTTGTAAGTAGATCACAAAATTTGTTTCATTTCTACAAAAGAAAGAAGTGATGAAAGGCTGAAATATGTTAGCAAAAAGGGTCTGGCTGGTCAATGTGCTTTCAAGAGCAGGAAGAAAGGGGGGTGGTGAGTCTTCTTGGTTCTCCACGGTCTGTATTGAACTGTAGCACCTAGCAGTAAAGATTCTCAGCACTCCTACCTTGCTACTGACCCTTTTTTCTATGGCTTTACACCGAAAAGATAGTTTTTTTTGAAATTGGGGTATGGGTTACTGTGATAGGCGGAAATATGGGATTCTCACACTTTTTGGCCCGCCCAACTTCGGAGAACCCAAAAACTATGCACTGTGAACATCA